GTTATTCAGGATGGTTTGTAATGTCTTTAGTGGGCACCTTTCCACCACCTCCGTGTGTGTCCAGTCTGGTTTCAATTACAGAGCCCGTTTTCCTCACTAGTTTGTGTAATCTCTGTGCGCCCTTGTTTCTGATGCTGCCTACCCAGCAGACTGCAGCATAGAACAGCTCACACCACCACAGACTGATAGGCCTCAATCTTCAGAAATCTATCATTTCCTTCATCTCAGAGGTGTTCAACATGAGGTCGCTTTTGTCACTCTACTCACTGAAAGCCTTTACAAGATCCCTGTATTCAGAGTACTGTCCATTCCTGATTATATATATATATACACCACAATGGCAGCGTAATCCGAGGATTTCTGGATGTGGCAGGACTCACAGTTGTATTTGAAATCTGCTGTAACCGACCTGATACAGTGCCCTTTCTGTCAGGTAGTCTGTAATCTAGGAAACGAGGAGGAATCTACTCCCATCTCTGTCAGCTTGTCTGAGTATGTTGAGCTGGATGGTTTTGAAAGCACTTGAAAAATGAATACAGCTCTTACATAAGCATCAAATTCCTCCAGATGAACAAGCGCACAGTGACGCATCGTTCACTTCGATGTTTGTATGCAGACTGAAGGGGGTCAAGTTCATCTTTGACCTCAAGTCTCAGTCAGTGTAGCAATCGTATCAGTGGCCACTAATCTGTAGTCAGTTAGTGCAGCTGGACAGTTTATTTTTGCCAAGGTAGGTATAACCGTCAGGATTTGTTTCCACTGTGTCGGGAGCACGCGCTGGGCTGTGCAAATCATGGACAAACAATATCCATCATTCTTGATTTTTAGCTCACAAACACTCCTTATGATGAATAACTAGTCCTGAAATTTCTGAGGTCTTAGCTCTTTATACAGTAAAGTTATAGTAAGATAGAAATAATTATCAGGCAAACTGTTGTCGGTTTGTTGAAATATTCCTGTCCAATAACACTTGAGAACAGTGAATGTGTCATTTCTGTTGTAACCCAGAAACTGAGCAGTAATTTAACAACACTAATGTTTCACTTTTTCACTAAAGTAAAACGTCACGACTTCCATGTCCAGTTAGTTGGAAAGGAGGCAGAGCCAACTGCTCCACGTGCTCCAGAGGAAAATAATTCTGTCGGGGATACCTACCTTTACCTTCCTTGGTACAACACTGGCACCAAGGACTAAGATTTGAGGAGCTGTGTGTGTAACTTATATTTTAGTTAGTATGATGTTCACGAGCTACAAGCCATAATAATGAAAATTAAATTAATGAATTACATTAACATGTGCAGCAGGGAAACTATGATTAATGTTAAAAAGTGTCCAGGGCAATGAAAATAATGTTTATAGTGACCTATGCTGCCTTGAAAAATAAGTACATTTTCATGTTGGAAAAAACAAATTGTTTTGAATGGGACCACAATGCTGGGAAATTCTGAGACCTATAAACAAAAATATCATAGGTTTGATAAGGATAACTTGTGTGAGGATTGAAAACAATGCTGTGGGACCGTAGACTCCGAGGCTCTCTACTCCCTAACTCTAACTCAGCAGAATATTGTAACCAGATGATGTGTGTTACTAGCTCCACATATCGACCTGGTTTTGATGTTGGGACTGATTGATTCTCAAAACCACTTCTGTGACAGTTCCAGTTATACTAAATGTCTCTAGGATCATATTTTGCCACAATCGCCCACGGTGAAATTACTGCTACTCAGTCACAGGTGCTAATAATATCGTGTACTGTGAATGATCTCTCCAGGTGGCAAAAATTGTATGTTTATACATATGTAAACTGTACAGGATCGCTGAGGACTTTTTTTTTTTTTTTTTTTACACTGTGTAGTATTTAGTCTGCATGTGGCTTGCTATGTTTGGACTCCCATGCACCCAGACTGATGTTTTGCTATGTGTGTATTTTCGTTGTGGGCATGTTGGGAGAGTTACCAGATGACTAAGGGGTAAAGCACTTGCTGATGCTCTGGAAAATGCATCAGCACCGTGGTAAACTGTAGTAAACCTTGCATTGCTTCAACATGTCTTTGTACACATGGAAATTGTGTTATTGAGGCATTCATATTTAATTTAAGTGGTCAACAGTACAGTACAGTCTAGCTGATGTAAACCTTTAAGCTGCGTGTGTAGAGGCTGTTTTATAACATTCCTCCCATCTGTTTATCCTTTAGTCCTTCAGTAGATACGAGCCGCTGTTGTCCAGCTGTCCTCCAGCTGGTTAGATCTCCTCGTTACTAAAACAAGTGAAAAAGACTTTTACGAGACAATTGAACCCTAACCCAAAATGGTAAATGCAGGTTAGTATCTTGCCCAAGGATATTTGGCACGCAGACTGGGGGAGCCAGGGATCAAACCACCAGTCTGATCAGTAGATGATGTGCTCTACCATCACAATATAATTCAACAATTGTTAATGCCTGAAATTAGAAATGTAAAAACTCCATCTTTACGATGTGATGAACCTGATGACATTGTCACAGTTTCTTCCACTTGTCTTTTTTTCATCCACTTCACATTCCTGCTACACCCAAAGTGCACCCTGAGAAAAGACTTTAGCTTAACAGCTTGACAGCTAACTGTGGGTGAAAAATAACTGGGCTCATTTGCACCTAATTACGAGGTTTGTAAACCACTTTTTGACTATTTCCATTTTATGCTACTTTATATATTTTTTGTTGCTTTTTAGTGAAATTGCATTATACACCGTGTCTTTTAGCTGTTAAACAACAAGTGAGTCAAAAATAATGTTAATTTTGTAACCTCCCATTCTCAACAGAGTTAAAGGATGATAAACCGAGTTATGTCATGGTCCAGTTTCCCTGTGCTGGCTCATTCTTTTCTCTTCTCATTTTCCTCTCACTGTCTGTCTTGCTCTGTGTGTGTGTGTGTGTCACACGTTGTGTTTGAGGGATGGGTCCTCCTCTGGTGTCCAATCCTTTGACTCTGTACACCTGAAAGTAAGTCATGATCTCAGCTGTTGGTAATTACCTGATTCCCAGTCTCCTACTTAAGATGTTCAGTTGAAGCCTGATTGTTGTTTGAAAACAGAGAGTGAAGTCAGCTTCTTTATCTGCATGGTCCTTTGCTTGCTTTTTTGCTCTGTGACTATGTCTTAGTGGTGGTGAGATGAAGCTTTGTGAAGTACTGAAGCTTTCCATCGAATTGGTCCACTCATGGGCTGAAGCGTCACGATGCTTCATTTGCTCCACTCTGCCATCAAGTGGACAATAAATGTAAAACAGACAAAGCATTTATAATGACATGGATTTGGTGTGCGAAGCTTTAAATTGAATAAATGAATGATGTTTGTGATGCTCACATATAAATTCTGAATATGGTCTGAATATGATTTTAATCTGTCTTTATGATACAATATCTGGGTCAAAACAGGAAAGTGGAAATAAATTGGGGAGAGTGTTGTGATGTGAATGTGCTTCTGTTACTTTATTTGTAACTGTCCCTATGTTACTAGGGACAACATTTTATTTAAACATAACTTTTCCACCACCCATCCATCAATTGATACCTTATCGTGGTGGTGGGGTTTGTGTGGCCCAGGGATCCCGCGGGCTATGTTGTCCAGATGAACAGAATCAACTTTTCAAGATTTCCTTACCTGGATGATTGGGCATGCATCAAGGGTTCATGTTTTTCAGATATCTTTTCCACTCCTCTGTATATTAGTGTTAACGATTGTTTACACATATAGTGCATTTTATCCTTAGTGTTACGAAGACATAACGTGACATCACCTTATATGTTTATATAAGGTGATGTCACCAATTAGTTAATGAAGCCTCAAGATGAGTATTTTGATCGTAGCTTTTTGAAACCAGATGTTGGATGTGCAGAACTGACTGAGAAATTGAAGGATTATGACAAATTGCAGTGTTATATCTGGGGGTGCAAATTAAGTCAAGGAAGGGAGGAAAATGAATCACTGTTAAAACACTGTTTTCCAACCAACGAAGTTGGAGACTTTTCTAGATTCAGTTCTTAGTGGAATGCTTTTAGTTGACATCCAAACTTTCTGGCCTGAGATGCAACTTGCAGCTGTGGTTTGATGGTTGTCGGCAAGGCTTCTGTTCTTTGGTTCTTAGTCGGCTTAGTAGGTGGAGTATATCCACTCCCTCATCTGCACGATCTCAGCCCTGCCTCCCTAAATGTGTCTCCTAACTGCTCAAATTGAGCTGTCCTTCTTATAACCCTCTAACCACAATCCAGTGATTTTTTTTTTTGTTTTCTTCGTCCATCTTAAAAGCAAATTTCTGCAAGATTTTAACTTCAGATCTTTTTTTCTGTCATTGTTGTTTTAAGCATGTTAGCATGTCACCTCTCTTGTGGTAATACTTGCAGAACTACAACAGAAATGACTTGAACAGAAACACCTCATAGAATTTTTGAGGTCAATGAATGCATTCACAAGGTTCACTGTGAGGTCTTTATGCACTAGAATCAATGCAATCCTCAGGTGAAAACATTACAGCACTCGGTGATAAATGGTTGATTTGTAGTGAAAGAACAATAAAGTAAAAAAAAAAATCAGAGTAAGAGTGGAGAAAAATGTTATTCCACAACAAAAGCACATCCCTTTCCTGTCAAACCCTGTGCAAGAATCAAGTGTTTAGCACGCATGTACATTAGCATGCATCCTTGCCATCTCATTAACAAGAGTGGGTTAGAACAACAACAGCACACCAATACAAATAGTTCACCTTTCATGAATACACAGCATAACAGCCAAGTCAGTCGTGTTGTGCATCTATCAGAATCCCCAAGGCTGGGCTGGTGCAGCTTGATGAGCTGAAGTGCTGAGAAATCCCACCACACGAACTGAACTGCTAGTTAAACCTGGCACTGTTGCTTTGATTAATGAATGTTCCTTTCATGTAACATGATGGTAAAACTCTGCAACTGTACTTCATCGATGAATAAAACATTCAACTGATTTACTCAAACACCAACACGATCAATTCGGTTCTTTTTTCATTTATTTTCTGCAAAGTAAAAATCTCTGTTCAAAGTGCATTAGAACATCAGGTTGGCACAGGGCACAGACATCCTGCACATCAGTCACCACAAACACAAGTTTACCTTTAACACAGTCCACACTGGTTCCAGGATCTATGGAAAAACTATGAAATTACGGACATCAGTAAACCATCTTCACTTGGGGGGTAAAATCCACTTGCTTAATGGACACGACGACACAATCCAAGACAATTTGACACAGTATGAACTACATTCTGACTGCCATAAAAGACATTTATGTCCTCATTGCAGACACTCTTACTAACAGCTATAGATTATGTTGTTTCAAACAGACCTCAGAAAAATGGAAATACACCTCAAATAAACACTACAAAATGTTTTCATGAAGTTGCAATTTGGGTGATACTGATAACAAAAAGATATTTTAGGGGTTTTTTTGTCCATGAGAGGAAAAAGAAACAAAGCAAAGTATGCCAAACACATACAGAAGCCTAAAGAGGTCATGGTTAGAACTAACAAGTTGTCATTTTTGCCATTTAATTAAAAAATAAAAACAAACTTTGGATAATGTGATTTTCCTAATTTCTCACAGAAAAAATGGAAGAAACAACCCAAACAGAAATCTGTTTAATAAAACAGAAAGAAAAAATGAGGAAAGATTAAATTTTGAGAAAATCTGAGGCTGTTTTTAAACCATGCAGAAACAGTCGTTTATACAAACTCTCCTTTCATGGGGGAATAACCATCTCTCTCAGCAAACTCTACAGTTGAGCTAAGTGATGTTCCTGCCTCCTATCAGGGGTATTGCCATTTGTGTATTTTTCCAGTATCTTTAAGCAAGGAACAAGATTTTAGGTACTGGAAGCTTTCTGAATTAACTAGACAATCGAAGAGGAGAACAAAAGAGGGCCGTCATCGTCTGATACGTCTCAAAAGCATCAGCTTGATGAGGAGAAATCAGAGCAGGCAGTTAAGAACTGCTTTGAGATTTACACATCAAACTTTTACAGTTTTTTTTTTTATTGTACCTTCGGTTTTTATGATGAACAAAAACATATATATGGGAATAAATTCAAAACCAAATGAGACCAATGTGACAAAGACAATATCATTAAAAAAAAAAGTTTGTTTGAGAAAAACAAAGATAACAGCCTGCCATACTGATCCCCTCGAGGTCTTGTGACCCAATCAGTGCATTGCCACAAGACAAGAGAGTTGTCTCCTCTCAAAGAAGAATGCGAGCAGCGGCAGGAAGGGTTAAATGCATTTACAGCAGAACAACATCTCAAACGTTACATTTTCATTTGAAATCTGTGTAGGTTTCAGATGAACCCAGAAAGGTCACCTTGCTGTTGTGGAACAGTTCAAGTTCCCTCTCATTCAGTCACCAACTGATCATGGCTTTATGTTTCCCTTGGCTTTATCACACAAAGATGTGCTTCAGTGATTATTTGGTGAAGTTCCATCAGCTGTGTACTCTACTGGAAGAATACACCAAATACAATGTGCTCAAGAAAAGGCAAAGTAATTCAGTTTATGGCAATGGATACTGACTTCAAGGACCGCCTTTGTTTGTAGCGCACGGCTAAATCACTGAGAATCATTCGGCAAAGGACCGGATGACGAAATCAGTCTGAAACCAAGACACTGAGTAGATTATATGGCAAAATGGAAATGCACCTGATCTCCAGAGTTTCTGTAATAGAAAGAGACCAGCCTCATGTGACAGAGCTTTTACCATCTCATTCTTTATCAAACATCTGCTGCTTTCTCTCTTTATGGGAAATAGTGTAAAACGTTTGCTCTTTGCTGAATGCAATGTGCACGTTTGAAGGAATGTTGAAATGTAATGAAAATGACTGAATAAATGGCTTAACATTCAAGTTGCTTCTTACAAAGGCATGGGAAGGAGCACAGTGAGGTAAGCCAGACGAAGACTGGAGTAAACATAGCAGTTACATGAACAGGCAAAGACACAATGCATTAATAAGACAATATATACTCAATATCTTTTAAAAGAATACATTCACTGTGAGAATCTAAAAAATATAGTAATAAACAATTAAGTATGGCCTTGTTCCTGTGATTCACTGGAAGACATGTGCAAAGGAACACTGCTGAAATGTCGTCTGTAGCAATGAAAGCTAATGAAATGTCAATACCTTTAAAGGAACCCTCTAACATTTGGAAAATCTGAGTATTTAACACAGTGAGGTTTGTTTAACATAAATCTGCCATTAATGGCTTGCAGTCCAATAGTTGGGGGAAAAAAAATCCTTTATTTTTTCTGGTTGTTATTCACTGACCTCTATGGAAAACATCACGATCCCAGGGAAAGTGTGAAGGAGAATTCGTAAAGATTTCTTTAAAAAGAGAATGTTGTTTGTGGAACTGCCATGAAAATGATAATGAAATAATAATAAAACCTGAAATTATCCAAAAAAGAAGTTTGAATAGCCTACAGATGATCAAAAATATGAAATGCCGTGCTGGAGAGGACCTAGTTTAACTTTACGATTTATAATCTGTCACTGACATAAAACGAACAATCAGACTAAGGGTTGGCGTTACAGCAACGGTGCTTCTGTTTGATCTGAAATGTTAGAAATGTTTGTTTAACCTCCAAAATGATTCTAATAGCATAACTGCTCGTGAATTCAAGTTCAGGTCACACCACACCAATGTCATTTCTTTATAACGTGACCGCACAACCACATGCAGGGTTTAGCTGCTATACAAGGGCAGCAACACCTGCAATTTGTTCATGATGAGTGTGCTGCTGATAGTCAGCAGTGACGGATACGACACCGTCACAGCCTGCAATCCTGCACAATCCTCAACTTTTCAAACCAACCTGGCTAGTTTCCAAAAATCTCAGATTTAATCCTCCTCAGAGGGCGGAGTAGTTTTAATGCTAGCTGTGAACACGGCAGGAGCTGTGCGTTTTAAGATGAAGCGGTGTTAGTGTGTCTGTCTGACCTTCAAGTGGAAGAGCTGCCAGCCAAACAGGCTCTGTGAGCGCGGCCTACAAGTGAACTGACATTAACAGAGTGACAGTGGGTGGAAAATCCTCAGCTTGATGACTTAAATGTCTCTGTGGTCTCTCTCTGGCCTGTTAGCTAAAGCAGACACCACAGTCTGCACTCTGGCCCTGATCCACCAACATCAGGCTTCAACACACGCGGCCACATCTGATGGAAACTTAACCAGAGCAATGGAAACACATCTTGCAGTGTAATTAGCTGGCAGCAGCACCTGTGCAGCATTTTTGTCTTTCTGAGAAAACATCAACGCTTCTATAGAGTTAAGTTTTCCACATATTCATTTACCTTGAATACAGTTTGAGAGGCTGGTTCAAGTTCACCCGTCTGTGCTGATCAGATCCTGGTTTATACATAAGTCGATTTTTAGCTTTGCCATCTCTTATGAAAACTAAAATGATGCTTTACTGACCATTTCCATCACTAGACTATAAACAAGCCAGAAGTGTATCCAGACTATTTAATTGACTTCACATGAGGTCAAACTCAAAGTACTCACAGCTGGGATCTAATACCCTCTCTCTCTCTCTCTCTCTAATCTGCTGGTTTTATTCAGCAAATTATTCACTTATCAATTCTTTGTCCTGTACAAGGTTGTTGACTGGAAGCTTTTGCAGCTTCCCGTGGTCACGTGACTGTTCGCAGCTGATTTCAGATGGCACTGCCTGGTGTGTCGCTGTCTGATGAAAAGCAGGTGTGCTTGAAATGTCCCTAGATGTAATAAATGAGGAATCTGGAGTTCTGCAGTGTGCGAACAGCTACTTCTTTCTCTTTTATAGAAATGATGGCCAAGATTACAACAGACTAATACTGCAACAGACCCAGGTGTCTCACACCTGCAACTGTGAGGACAGAGCTGCAGTAATTCACCATGTTGATAATGATTACTTTAGAAAAGCTTCAACAGTGAGTCTGAGTCTAGCTTTGTGGTTGGAAATTACAACAAGTGTGCATCATTCAGTGCCAGCTGTAGTTAAAAACGTGGAAAATGTGATATCTTAAAGACGGGAAGGGCCAAGAAATATAACGACACCACAGAAATATGGCAAATTTTAGCCACAACGTCACATTAGATTTCTGTCAAATGTTGCAAGGCAAGAGTGATTTTATACACTTAGATCTATGTGTGATTCATTTTTACCCCATTTTTCTGTAGAGTATTAATAACAAAACAAATAATCTACTTTGCAGTAAACAGTGCAACACTGTGTACAGGGGCTGGAATGGGAAGGTTCCAAAATGTGACTGAGATCTGATGAACATTTCTTCACTATCAAGGTTATATATCCAATTGTAAAGAGCAAATATAATAATAACTGTAATTATTATTGTTGTTATCAAATCAGCAACACCAAATTCCAAAAATGTAAACAAACACCGTCTAAAACAGTCATTTCTGAATTGAAAGAACTTCAAAAGTTGTCAAGCAGAAACTGTTTTGTGCACTGCTGCATGAAGCACTGAATAACTGAATTATCACTGTGGCCAATTAAACCACATTAAAAAGAATTTGCAATGTGACATATTTTAAATGCCTTAAGCGCAGAGCTATTCTTTGTCAGTTACACACCCTATTTGGCACTCAGATGTATGTCCATTGACTTTTTCAAAAATAAAATAAGCATCAAGGTAATGACAAGGAAATGAATCATTGGGCATAACATTCTGATTTGGTCCTTATATAGATGTCACTTAGATGTTTGCAAATTTAAAAAAAAAAATACAATAAATTATTTGCTAGTTGGATTTTTTTACAACTCTACTTTTATATAATCTCGACATTTCTTACCAGCAGTAAATTAACTGATGATGAGGTCATCTGCTGAGCTTTGGAAACGTCTAATAGATTCCAATCCTGTCAGGGGCCACTAGCAGAACCAAATGTAAGCTATAAGGTTTGAATTTTGACACCCCCCCCCCACAAAAAAACAGGAGCTGCTAGAAAACAGATCAGTGTGCATCACCGTTTTATCATCAGTGTACCTTTTCCATTTCTTGCTGAACTAACTGGACCATCCTGTAAATTCACAGCACCATCTTACCATTCAGTTAGTCCGTCATTTAGTTTTTCCTGCTCAGAGTCAAAGAAAGAAAAAGCTTCATGAAATATAATTATCCTCTTCCTGTCTCATACCCCAGAGTCTGAGTACATGCCATTTATCAGATAGTCGACCTGCGTGTAGTCCTTCCTCTTGTAGCTGTCGTAGGCCAGTTTGACAAACACTGACACTGTGACCAAGAAGAAAAGCAGGCCAAAGAGCAGGACAGCCAGTAAAGACGCCGTATCGACGAGCTGCTTGGTCAGAACAACCCCCGCCTCTTCTACCACAGGGACCCTCGTAGCTGAGGCAAAAGATTTATTGTGATTGGCCAATGCATCAGTACTGGCAACAGTTATAGCAGATGGTGATTTGGTTAAAGATGATGTCTGAATCGGTGCCACCTCAATACTGGGGTGTGGCAGGGCAGCTGATGGAGACGTGTCTGAACCATGGACGGAAGTAACAGCAACACTTGTGTAAGCTATCGTCACCGAGTGTGGGGCTACTGTTGTTCTTGTTGTTGTTGCAGTTGCTGGTGCTGAGGTTGTAGATTTCACAGGTGTAGTGACCACATTCTTAACAGACTCTGAAGTGGTTGCTGTTATACTGCTAGTGCTGGTGGTGGATCCAGTATGCAGGCGCTGAGCAGGCAAGCTAGTGGGGGTAAATGCCTCTGGTGATTTGAGATGCTCCTGTGACGATGGCTGCTCAAAGGATGCTGAAGATGTGGAAGAAAGGGCTCCTTCTGTAATTTGCTCATTTTTGTTCACCGATGTTACAGACTCATTCAGTCTGTGGCTGACAGTGGTGTGGTTGGTGGATGATGAGTTCAGGGAGGACTGAGTGCTTGCATTTGGTTGCAGACTGTTATTATCCTTGCCTGTACTAGAGTGGGTCTGTGTGATGACATCTGAAGTGCTATTCGGGTTTAAGGCAGAGACTGAAGTGTTCGGTGGAGTGGTCACACCATCCAAAGAGGTCTTTGTTGTTGCATCAGTAGCACCTGGGAACAACAAATTCTAGTTAGCACAAACTAGTGAAACAACATTCGCTAAAAGCCAAACATACATTTATATTTCACTCGTATATTTGCAGAGCATCAGTTTGTACCTTTCAAAGAATTTTAACCCTGTAAATAGCCAAAGAGCTGTGCTATCTTCAAGATCGAGATACCCTTACAACCAAAACAAGTTTGGGAACTCTGAAATTACACTGATAACTGATTTAAAAAATGTTTATGATCACCATCTAAGTCAAAATTGTAGACAAAAACAATCAGACAAAATGTCTGTGAAGGTTCTCAGTCATCCAGGTCATCGAAGTCAAAGGAGCTTGGAGAGAAAAGCGTCTGGACTTCTTTAAGTTGCTTGAAGACGTTTCACCTCTCATCCGAGAAGCTTCTTCAGTTCTAAGGTCAAATGGTGGAGAGTCCCAGATTTAAACACAGTGGGAGAAACCCCCCCACAGAGGGTGAGGATCATCAGGGTTAGCTTGGCAAATGAAAGGAATACAGCAGGAAGGCATCCGGCATGGAACTCATCCAAAGCAAACACGTACAGCTGATCGCTTTGACAAGGAAGCAGCTTAAAGCACCTTTCATTGACGGCCCAAAGTAGTTAAACCTGTGTGCTATTATATCTACATTAGCTCCTTGGAGTCAGGCATCCTACTAAAAGGAGATTAGAGTAGAAGTGTAGCACATTCACTGCCTGAGTCGCTTCATTACTTGGCAAAAGCCAAAGAGTACAGCTAGGTTATGAAGGCATACCAGGAGGCGATGCTTTCAGACGGGGATGTCCAACACAACAGTAAACAAATGACTCAACAAAGCAACGCTGGCACTTGAACTGTTACACTAACGGTTCATGGAAATGACTTATTTGGTGTATCTGGCTAAAAAGCTAAACCCACACCCATCCTGTATGGAAAATACTGAAGAGTTACAAAGTTCAACTATTTCTGTTATTGGTAAAACTAAATGCTCAAAGCAGTTGTGCTTTACATAAAATTTCCAGGCAAAATACCCTCTAGGTTACTTTTGTGCCTTCATTTCATTATTCTATGCCACTACTGAACCATGTCATACTGTAAGCTGCAATCACTGATAAAATGGTCTTCAGCATTTCCCCAATAATAAATATCTTAATAGTAAATTTTGTTGAAATAACATTTCTTTTTGAGGCTATTGATACCCCAGCTATCCTCAGCAGTAATAATCATCCACACAAAATACAGGTTGCTTTAAAACACAAGTTGGCATTTTCTCACAGTCGGACTTTAAAATAACGTGCTGCCAGCCATCTGAACTTGGCCAAAAAGATGACTTTGAATGAGAGATCGGCCAAATTAAAATCAAGCAGTCTTTGTTTTTTGTGGACTTGATCACACCTCTTATGGTTTCTTTAACATTCCCAAGAAAGATTAATTGATGAATTGTGCCTAGAGCTACATGAAGTGCTTATTTTTGTTCAATTTAATTCAAATTCAGTTCAATTTTATTTACATAATGCCAAATCACAACAACAGTTGTAAGGTAGAGACACTACAATAAGGCAAAGTATAAAAACTCCAACAATCATGAAAATCCCTACGCACAAGTGCTTTGGCAACAGCAGGAAGGAAAAACTCCCTTTTAACAGGAAGAAACCTCATCAGAACCAGGTTCAGGGAGGGGCGGGGCCATCTGCTGTGATAGGTTGGGGTGAGAGAAGGAAGACAGGACAAGAAGAAGAAACACTCATTGCATCATGGGAACCCCCCAGCAGCCTAGACCTAATGCAGCATAACCTGATCCAGCCCTAACTATATGCTTTATGAAAAAGCAAAGTTTTAATCTTAAAAGCAGAGATAGTGTCTGTCTCCAAAATCCAAAAGCTGGTTCCACAGAAGAGGGGCCTGAAAACTGAAGGCTCTCCCTCCCATTCTACTTTTAAATACTCTAGGAACAACAAGTAAGCCTGCAGTGTGAGAGCGAAGTGCTCTAATAGGGTGATATGGTACTACAAGGTCATTAAGATAAGATAAAGCCTGATTATTCAAGTATGTGAGGAGCAAGATTTTGAATTCAATTCTGGATTTAACAGGGAGACCCTGTCTTTCTACATAGGGTCTCGTCCCTGTCAGGACTCTTGCTGCAGGATTCTGGATCAACTGAAAGCTTTTCAGGGAGTTTTTAGGACATCCTGATAATAATGAATTACAGAAGTCCAGCCTGGAAGTAATAAATGCATGAACTAGTTTTTCAGAGTCACTCTGAGAAAAGGGTAGTTGGAGCCCATATTTCTATGACTCTATCCAAAGTACAACAAACTCAGTTTTATCTGAATTTATAAGCAGGAAATGAGAGATTATTATGGCTTTAAGACATTCCTGCGGTTTAACTGGTGTGTGTTATCTGCCTTTGTGGAGAGATAAAGTTGGAGTCTATTAGATATGATTCGAACCACTGCAGAGCAGTACCTGTAATATTTACCGCATGCTGTAATCGCTGTAATAAAATATTACAGTCAACAGTATCAAACGCTGCACTGAGGTCCAGCAGGACAAGCACAGATGTGAGTCCAGCACACATACAATGCGTATTTTGTACACTTTATCAACCTGGCACCAACGACAAATGACATATAGATACATTCGTGCCAATATTGTGACCATGAGTGTCACAACATTGAAGGATACTTGTGGCTGCCAGTGTTAGTAGATTCACCAATGGTATCAAAATGAAAATCCTACCTTGCCTAATCTTCAAGTTATTGTGTTAACAATGTTCGGCGTCCACACCGGGTCTCACCTTTTTCTTTTTTTAATTCTGTCACAAGCTGTTCACACACTGCCCATGAAAACAGATTTTAAAAAAGCTTCACATGCTTACACACAGAACCTTTAAGACTCCTGCCACATACTTACATCCAGAGGCGCAATTAACTGTGGGTGTTGAGAAGAAGTAGGCCCCATTTGGTCCTGTGGTGGCGGAGTCAGTAAGGAGCAGAAGCACACAGGGGGGGAGGAGAAGACACAGTGATACGCTCAGCCGGAGTTTTGAGGAATACAGGGACATGGTGGGCTGGGAGGGAACGAGACAGACACACGCTCACATAGACAGAGGCACATCCATATGCGCACACACACACACACACACACACACCGGGTACAATGAAGTTCACACAGTCAACTTGTACAAACAATGAAATGAAGGCGGGGAAACCAGGAGGAGGTGAAGTCAGTTTCTGGTTGGACCTACAAAGACAAACACAAGCAAGAATCAGAAGCAGCCTGACAGACGGGGTCGATAAACTGTGTTCTTATAGATTTTCTGCGTCAGGACAGCTTATTCTTCTAGTAAACAGAGACAGTCCTTAAACAGAAACATGTAAAACCACAATTACAGCTGTATTTAACATTTAGGATGACAGCATTTATTCATATTGGTTGGATCACTTCATCTTAACCTTTTGATGGAGTCTTATATTTTCTTACCATGTTTCACTCAAACAAGTAACACACAACACTTACTGGGCCATTCAGCCAGATATTAAAATATAGTTACTATAATTCCACTGGTTAAAAATATACAAATACTCTCTCATTTAATAAGACATTTCAGGCCCTATCGAGACCAGCAGAGTCAAAGTTGAAGGATGTTACTAATGATTTGGTTCAAATTAAACAGTATTGTGGAAACTACAACTTTTTTACAATGTTCTACATTATCCAGGCTAAATCTTGGGATTTGTAGTTCAGTAAGGTGGATTTCCTGAAGCACGCCATTCAAGCCTCTTCACCTGCACAACAGTAAAGAGCAGTTAGTCCACCCAAATGTGAGGAATGACTACCATCTAGTGTCAAAACAATGCACATCTCAAGTAGTGCTCCTGGAGGAAGTAGTACGAGTCATAATCACTGTTATCAGTTATGAGTTTAATTAGACTCCAGGCTCAAGTTACAGAAGCACAGAGCTAATTATAGTGAAGTGTTAATGACAACATTTAGCTCAACAACAATTACTGCATGTATTTCACTTTCAAATGAAGAAGCCCAAACAAAATTACACATGAAGTGTCAGAATCTCTGAAATAGTTTTCTATACTGAAACACAGTGACACAGTGGTGCCTTTACATTCAAGTGTAGTGAGCAGCTTCGTTGGCTGTGCAAAGGGTCAGTCAGGAAAGATCCATCCAGCTAGTGTCTTCTTCCAAAGCCTTAGTACCATAACTACCACTACTGGCCAACCTAACAATCTCTTAACGCTGCATTGTGGTTCGCTGGAGTCCCACGGCTTCAGAAATGGCTCTATAACCTTTTCCAGACTGAGATCTCAATTACTTTGTGTCTCATTTGTTCCTGCACGTCCTTGGATCGCAGCATGATGTCTGGCTTTTGAGGATTTTTTGGTCTACTCCACTTTGTCAGGCAGGTCCTATTTAAGTGATTGTGGCAGTAGTCAGGCCTAATCAGGTTATCTTTCTCCAGTATTTTAATTTGTTTGATGATCTGAAACATTTAAGTGTGACTGACATACAAAAGGATAGGAAACCAGGAAGGGGGGCGAACACTGTCAACTGTCTCATCACAATCACAGATGAATCCAACCACAGTGTTGTCATTGGCATACTTGATGATGCTGGTTGGGTGGATTGGTGTACAATCATGGTGTACAGTAGGAGGCTGAGAGCACAATCCCAGACACACAATCTGTACGCTTACATCGCCAAAGAGGCTGCTGGCGCTTCAAGTCATATCTTCAAGTCGTATAAGAGAATTTTACTTTAACCACAGGCTACAGTATTTATTTTGATTATCAAAGCTAATGGTAATAATCAGTGTAAATTACTGTAGGAGTCATAAATGCAATCAGGCAAAAATTAATGAATTTGTTTTGAAATTTTCTCCATATGTTGTAGCTAATATTCACGTATAAAGAAGGTAAGGACACGATTTTTTTTTTTGACAACTAAACTTCGAGTCATTTTACTTTAAAGGGAACACTTCAGTGTTTTGCAAACCTAAAGAATTGTAGCTGATTGCACTGAAATGTACCACTTACAAGACTTTGTCCATAAATTCTACTACAATATCTACTCCCACTCAGCACCTAGACTACCTTAAGTTAGAGATAAATCAAAAGATTGCGATAAGCCTGTAGTCACAGAAATCACAGTCCACGAAAACAGGAGTGAGTGAGTGAGTGAGAGTCAGAAACAGCCAGCAAGTTTTGTGTGAAACCGACCTCAAAGACACTAAAAGTAAAGAATAAAATATATCAACATTACTTCTAATACACGAGTAGACAGCACAGTGCTGTTTAATGAGGTCTAATGTGATATATTTCCTGGCTGTATTCTGCACAGGCTGAGTGGGATGAGTGGAGTCTGATGTCCACATGTAAGGCATCAGCTCTCCTCCACTCATGTGGAGCACATTGTGCTTCTTTGGGAAGAATAACTAAAAACAAACTCCACTGCATTTCAAAAGCAGAAGCCATTACTGAATAACACACGCGGCATGATATTTGTGACAAATGCCAACAATATATCCACTGATCTGTGAGCACCAGTTTGGTTCATCAGGTTTCTGGTGCAGTTTTCCACGTGTGTAAAGTAACAGGGAGCTCCACGGGGAGTGTGCACTGTTATTTGGGGACCCTCCACATTAGGCCAGCCTTTACCGGATTTGTAGCACTGCCCCACAGTGCACCAGGACCCAGATCTGTGTGATAGGTACTTGACTGTAAACAGGATGCGTTTTAGACAGCTGGGGCACAGGACCAGCCCTCAGTGTAAACAGGAATACTCGTTGAAGACGCCAACGTGGAGAGAGGAAGTGCCGCGCGCTCTGCCACGCTGCCGACCTGCCAATCAAAGAAGTTTGGGCTAAAACGGGAACTCCCGAGCACACAGCCAGCAGCTGCTTTAGCACCAAATAACCCAAAACATTACATCCGAGAAATGTCCCATTAACTTTAGCCGAATAAACAGAAAAAAATCCAAAGCAACAAGAGTCAGTCACGTGTTATTGTGACTTCAAGTCAGAGCAGAGAAACGCAGCTGTAGCTCACACAAGCTAACACTGGGCCAAGTGAAAGCTGCTCCGAAGGAAGACACGGAGCTTAGTTCAGATGGGAAAACCCAAAGTTTAACTGGCTCGGTTACACAAACCAACAAGGTAACGAGCAAAACCACACCATCGATAATACAGTGAATAATGCTGTAATCGCTATGTCACCGGGCAATAAACACACCGGGAAACGAGTTAACGGAGCATGATGAAGAGACATCTCCCCTCAGCGGCGAGTGCATCCACACTACCGAGCAGCTAACACTAACAAGCCACGGTCACGGAGAGTTACTGCTCACAGGCTAGCTACAGTCCGTGTGATCGGGGGTCCTTACCAGGCTTATGCGGGGGCTCGTTTGCTGTAAACCACACACAGGTACCCAGGAACCAAACATCTACACCTTCTGTACGAGACGCTGACCTTCTTCCTCAGCTGCGGTTCTAGCTGTGTTGACTGATAATCTATGTGCTCCCGCCCTCTGCTGGCCACACCACGTTAAAACAAGAACGCCTCCTATTGTTACAGTTTACCAAAATTTATCATGACTAATACCAATACTTTCAATTCATTGCTAATGATATTATTGCTATTAATATCTAAACATATAGAACGTTACTAAAGTTAAGTCTGTGAAGGTTCTCAGTCATCCAGGTCATCGTAGTCAAAGGAGCTTGCAAAGAAAAGCATCTGGACTTCTTTAAGTTACTTGAAGACGTTTCACCTCTCATCCGAGAAGCTTCTTCAGTTCTAAGGTCAAATGGTGGAGAGTCCCAGATATAAACCTAGTGGGAGTATCCCCCCACAGAGGGACAAAAGGACCCCCTGATGATCCTCTAATCCCCTGAGCCACGGTGTGAAACTGGGTGTGGGTCCCAATCAGCCAGAGTTTTGGGGTGAGCTCATTGTGAAACCTGGCCCCACCTTATCATGCGAATACTAAAGTTAAGAAATACCGTTTTGACCAAACATATCAAGGCGGATATGAGCAGGTTTGCCTTAGAAATGCATAATAATAATAATAATAATAATAATAATAATAATAATAATAATAATAATAATAATAATAATAATTTACATCAAAATAATTTATTGAAAGGAACAAGTGAATTTCTAGATTTATATGTGTGGGCAGAAAGCCACGGATTCAATTTAAAATATTACAACTTCCTAAAGAAACAGCTGAATCACTGCCATGTCTATCCATTTATTAGCTATCCAACTAAGATCCCTAGCATGCTGCTGCAATTCCCAGTTATTTTACAAAATGGAAGAACATGGTAAATTTCACATTTCATTACAATCTCTTCTGGGAAGCAAAATGTTATATAGACAGCATGCTAAGACCCTAAACCAATGGTCCAAGGTACCACTCAGAATTTGGGTTAGTGAGTGTAAATCACCACTACTGGAAAAACATCCTAGAATATAAAAATGGATCACATCTGACCCAGATTTCACAGCAGACACAATCAATGGGTGCTTTAAATATTGGAACAAAATCGTTATTACCTCCTCCTGTTTGGTCGTGTCAGATGGAGATGGAGCTGTATAGCTTTCATAAAATCCAGGAAACTAATGGCTTAGGTAAAATTAACTTTTTTTAAGTACTTTCAGGTTAGAGACTATTTTAATGACAAGATAAAACATTTAGAAATACAAAGGACTCCAATATAATTGACATATTTACTGACATGGATAAAACCAAAAGAAATAAGAAAGTTGTGTGAAGACTGTATTCAACTATCTAAACAATAAAAAAACAAAAACAACCTTTCAAAATCTAACTGGGAGAAAGGTTCCATACCAGAGGGTGATTGGCAGAATGTGTATCTAATGCAGCTGACTTCTACCAGCTCAGGCTCCTGGAGAGAATGATTTGTGTCGGCAGAAGTGTGGAGAACAGCTGGCAGACCACGATATATTTAGGAGTTGGCCAGTCATTTTGCCTTATTTGGAGGAGGTAACAAAGACAACATAGAATGTACTTGGAAGCGAGATGAACTTTTCTTTTTGAATGGATTGTCTTATCTAATAGTACTAAGAGTGGGGCGATCGTGGCATAAGAGTTGGCAGTTCGTCTTGTAATCGGAAGGTTGCTGGTTCGAGCCCCGGCTCCAACAGCCTCAGTCGTTGTGTTCTTGGGCAAGACACTTCACCCGTTGCCTACTGGTGGTGGTCAGAGGGCCCGGTGGCGCCAGTGTTCAGCAGCCTCGCCTCTGTCAGTGCGCCCCAGGGTGGCTGTGGCTACAATGTAGCTGCCATCACCAGTGTGTGAATGTGTGTGTGAATGGGTGGATGACTGCATGTGTAAAGTGCTTTGGGGTCCTAAGGGACTAGTAAAGCGCTATATAAATACAGGCCATTTATCAATAGTAATTAAGCAACTGATATTTATGCATTTTTTCCCTTTAAATGTACAGACTGATCAGTGAATTGATAGCATATGTATGACCAACTGGTAATGTGTTTAAGTTTGTTCCATTTGTGACAAATACAGCTAAATAAACAGTTAAAAAGATACTGAACGTCAAGCTGATCCCCAGTGCATTCACTGGTGTTAGACAGAAAACACCTAGGTGCAGAAAAAATGTGCTTGCATGAAATGGTGAACGAGGCATGTTGTATAAAGTGCTTTCAGTGCTTGTGGAGGGTAGAACAATGCTATACAAGAAGCAGTGCATTTACTATTTATTTCTAGACCCCATGCTTCTGTGCAGCCCTGCCAAATGCCAAGAAAAGCAGACACTCTCTGCATTTGTTTGCAGACTGCATTTAGGAATGACAGTGGCTGCTGAGCTTGTTTGTTTTTCTTTGGATTGCTCTGCATTTCTTTTTTTCCTTTTTCCTTTTGGTATTTTGTGTCCATTTCTCATACAAAGAACTTTAGACGTAGTTGTCTCAATGCATGCTCATCAATCCAGGTAAGTAAATCCCAAAAGGTTGATGTTAGCAGAGACGGGTCTTCCAGCAGAATCTGCATGAATGCTGAAGATACTTATCTACACGGAGGAATAATCACACGTGGAGCATCGGCTTTTTGACGGAACATTCACACCAATGTGTCTTTATTTATTGAACTCTCGCGTAGCATAACAGGAAGCATCCTTTCAAAATAAAATCCCAACAGATGCCAATGAGGACATACCTATTAACTAGCTCAACACCCCACTTGCTAGCTAGCTCACATTGTCAGCTTTACATGCATTTCAAAAGAAACAGTTTTTCTTTACTATTTGTTTAAACTCCAAACATATATTTTGCAAACTTCAATAACTTCCCCTTTGTTGCTGGCTTTGTCATAACATTGACCACGATCAGACCTGTTGAACAATATTCCAATATCAAACTTCCAGCATTAACTGTTGATCTCACAAAATGATACTTGATATCGATACGCTTACACCTGTCTGTTAACAGGATTCTTTGCCAATAGTCCCTTGATTGTCCTCAAAAATCTTTGGTGGTCCCTTTTGATGCTCATACATGCTTTGCAACAGTTGTGTCAAGTACAAACATTCTTGTGTTGTTGCTGCCAAAGCTATGTACTCTGCTTCACAAGTTGACAAGGCAACAGTTGGCTGCTTCTTTGTTCGCCATGACACCAAAGTACCTTCTTCATTCAGGCTTATGCAGTAACCTGTAGTACTCCTCCTGTCAGTCACATCTGCAGCCCAGTCTGAGTCACTGTGACCTTGTACTCTCAAATCTTTTGTCACTTTTCCTGTAGCACAATGTCTTGTCTTTTGATTGTTTCAAATACCTCAGAACATGTTTCATAGCAGTCCAATGTTCTAAAGTTGGTTCTTTGAAGTGCTGTGACAGCTTACTTACAACAAAACTCAAATCTGGTCGTGTGCAAGAGGTCAAGTAAATAAGGCTACCTACTGCCTCTCTGTACATCCTGACATTGTTCATTGTCTCAGCATCATCATTGTAGTTCAACTTTTGCTCACAAGGAGTTGATCTTCTGAAGAAGAGCAATTTGGATTGTAATGATTTTAATAATTACAGACCTGTATCCAACTTACCATTTTTAAGTAAAATTTTAGAAAAACTTGTTTTTATTCAGATTAATGATTTTCTGAATGATAGACAGATCCCGGAGATATTCCAGTCTGGATTTAGGGTGAACCACAGCACAGAGACTGCTCTCCTAAAGGTTTTAAATGATCTTAGATGTAACTGGGACGCCCAAAAGCTCTCAGTCCTGGTGCTACTGGATCTAAGCGCAGCCTTTGATACAGTAGACCACGCTATTCTTTTAAACAGACTGAAACACATGGTGGGCCTCTCTGGTGCTGTACACAACTGGTTCACTTCCCATCTCTCAGACAGAACTTTTATGGTGAGTATGGATACATGCTCCTCTAAGACCCATAAAATAACTTGTGGTGTGCCCCAAGGGTCGGTTTTAGGCCCTGTACTTTTTAATTTGTATATGCTCCCTCTCGGCGGTGTCATCAGGAGGCATGGAGGGAACTTTCACAGTTACGCTGATGATACTCAGCTGTACATCTCCGTGTCTCCCGATGACACCAGACCAATGGATGCCCTTTTTAACTGTATTCTAGATATAAAATCTTGGATGGCAGCTTAACCAGAACAAAACTGAAGTTTTAATCGTCGTTCCTGAGGCTCAGAGAGAGATGCTCTTGTCTAAATTACAGGCATTTTCACTATGCCCTTCACTACAAGTGAAAAACCTGGGTGTTATTTTTGACTCTGAGTGTGTGTATGTATCCATGACCGCTTATGTTAATGAGAGTGTGGGGAGTGAATTGGAGGGCGGGATGGGGTGGGGTGGGCTGCTTTTAGCCATGTAAAGCACTTTGTGCTACATTTCTGTATGAAAAGTGCTTTATAAATAAAGATTGATTGATTGATCTTGGTTTACAGTCTTGCATTTGAAATCCTTCCAGTATGTTTTCTACATATCTCTCTTGTGACATTTTTACACAATCTTTGGTTTGCTCAAAATCAATACCAAGAAAATGTTTGAGTTTCCCCATACAGATTACCAAATTTCCCCTTGTGGGACAATTAAAGGATTATTCTATTCTATTCTATTCTATTCTATTCTATTCTATATCTTTCATTGCAGTTAGCATTCCCTTCACAGTTTTCAAAACACTTTCAACACTGGCTGCAATAATAATATCATCAACCCATATGATCACAATCACTTTGTCTTTTCTTGCTTTCCTTGTGTAAACACAATGATCTACAGGACTCTGCATGAAACCGTTCTCTATCAAATAGTCATGTAATGTCCTGTTCCAGTTTCGGCCTGACTGTTTAAGCCCATAAAGTGACTTTTCCAGCTTATAGACCAGTTTCTCATCTGTTTTACTTCATAGCCTTCCGGCTGCTCAAGGTAAACTACAAAGTCTATTGGTGCATGCAAGTATGCAGTTTTTACATCCATCTGATGCAAAATCAGGTTTTCTTGTATTGC